CGTGTGTATACAACATGTGTGTATACAACATGTGTATACAACGTGTGTATACAACATGTGTGTATACAACATGTGTATACAACATGTGTGTATACAACATGTGTGTATACAACATGTGTATACAACATGTGTGTATACAACATGTGTGTATACAACGTGTGTATACAACATGTGTATACAACGTGTGTATACAACATGTGTGTATACAACATGTGTATACAACGTGTGTATACAACATGTGTGTATACAACGTGTGTATGTGTGTATACAACATGTGTGTATACAACGTGTGTATACAACATGTGTGTATACAACATGTGTATACAACGTGTGTATACAACATGTGTGTATACAACATGTGTGTATACAACATGTGTGTATACATACATGTGTGTATACAACATGTGTGTATACAACATGTGTGTATACAACGTGTGTATACAACATGTGTGTATACAACGTGTGTATACAACATGTGTGTATACAACGTGTGTATACAACATGTGTGTATACAACATGTGTGTATACAACGTGTGTATACAACATGTGTATACAACATGTGTGTATACAACATGTGTATACAACGTGTGTATACAACATGTGTATACAACGTGTGTATACAACATGTGTGTATACAACATGTGTATACAACGTGTGTATACAACATGTGTGTATACAACGTGTGTATATACAACGTGTGTATACAACATGTGTATACAACATGTGTATACAACGTGTGTATACAACATGTGTATACACACATGTACGTTATAGGTGGAGTTCCTAGCGGCGTCTCAGCCTTTGTTTATGTCTCTCATTACCTCCTCCCTTCCACACATTCTCCATCCCTCTCTCTCATTCTCCCTCACACTCTCCCTCCCGCCCTCCCTCCCTCCCTCCCTCCCATCCATCCATCCCTTACACCCATTTTACCTCTCCCTCTTAATCCTGGTCCCCGACCAGGCCTAATCGGGGACCGGGCCGCGGGAACGTTGAGCCCCGAATTTTTTTTCCCCCTGAGGGACGAGTTTATTGGGCAGCGCCATTCTTCCTGTGAGTGGACACACCGCCATAGCAGCATGTACAACACTCCCCAATAGGAAGAAAACCCGCTGGGTTATTCATCCTGTCACTTGTACCCAGACACAGGTGGGACTTGCTTAATTGTCTCAGGTGAACAGCTTATCAAACAAGAAGATTAACGTTCGTTAAGCCTAAAAATCTTATGTTATCTTGCGGGTGCAAAATGGGGGAATCTCTTAAGAACAGTATCTATATTTAACAAATAGTGTTTTCCTAGCTCAATGTCGGGTTTATTATTCTTCACATATTTCTAATGATGCTTAGATGTCCACATTCTCTCAGGTAGTGATCTTCAAGGAAGTGTCCACTCTCATCACAGATTCTGCAACTCCTCTGTTCAACTGTTGTTTTCATTACGAATCTCCATGGATATTTGTATCCAAGACGAATTCTTGCTATTACTGATTCTCTCCCCAGTCACCTCCTCTTCGTCCATAATGATTGGGATTACCAGCTGCATTCGCATTGTATCTGCATACAAATTCACTGATTTATCCTTCTATCCTCTTTTCCTCAGTAACCCTGTCATGGTGACTCTTCTAATTTGTCGAGGAGTCTTAAGTATGATATATTCAATGTGGTCTTCTTCAGTGTCTTCAGCAACCAGCACATCTGCTCGTATATTTCCACAGATTCCAACATGGGAGGGGATCTTCAAAAATTTAAGGATTCTTCCCTCATTGGTTAGTACTCTCAGCGCTCTTTTGATCTCAGCGACTATCGCAGGATTTTCTGCCTGATTTTGACTAAGGCTTTGTAGCACTGCTTTAGAATCAGTACAGATCACTGCACCGTTAGTGTTTCGTTCAGGAACCAGGAGCTTATGGTCTCATACTCAGACCATAAGCTCATTGAAGTGCGAACTAGCATAAATAACGGTAGTAGGTCTAAGAGACCCAACAAGCGAGAAGGAATATTCAATCAATTCAATTTCAACAATAAGAGGATCGACTGGGAAAAAACTTAAGCGACAAAACTCCCACACAGGGAATAGATCAACTGACAGCTGAAGCATACAAGGTCTGCCTGAAGCACGTGCCTGTGAGGAGGGGCAGAAAGAAGACCACTCAAGAAAGAGAACGCAGACGACTGTACAGGAGAAGGAAAAATTTATGGAAATGCTTAGGCAGACACGACTGTCACAAGCAAGGAAAATAAACCTAAACAGGGAGATCGAAGAAATGGAACAAACGTTGAAGCGATCATACGAGGCTGAAGAAATGGAATTGGATCAGAAAGCTATACAAAAGATAAAGAAAAATAAAAAATATTTTTTCACATATGCAAAATCAAAATCAAAAACCTCCACCAGTATTGGACCTTTAATTACAACTGACGGTACGTACACAGAGGACAACAAAGAAATTAGTGAAATTCTAAGAAGCCAGTATGAGGCTATGTTTAGCACACCAATAAACAACATGAAAGTTGATGACCCAGACAGCTTCTTTATGAATGACATTCAAGCTGCAGATAATATAACGGATATTAACACGAACTCGGAAGACTTTGAAAGAGAAATTGACAATATGCCCATGCACTCAGCTCCTGGGCCTGACTCATGGAATTCAATATTCATAAAGAAATGTAAAGTACCAGTAGCGCGAGCACTCAGCGTAATATGGAGAAAGAGCCTAGATACAGGGGAGATACCAGCAGCACTTAAATCTGCAGATATAGCTCCTTTGCACAAGGGGGGGGAGTAAAGCCTTGGCAAAAAATTATAGGCCAGTTGCACTAACATCACACATAATAAAAGTTTTTGAAAGAGTGATTAGGAATCAAATTTCTAGTTTTATGGAAAATAATGAGTTACACAACCCAGGACAACATGGATTTAGAGCGGGAAGATCCTGTCTGTCACAGTTACTCAACCACTATGACAAAATCACAGAAGCTCTAGAAGAAAAGCAAAATGCAGATGTAGTATACACAGACTTTGCAAAGGCATTCGACAAATGTGATCATGGAGTGATTGCACACAAAATGAGGTCAATGGGAATAACTGGTAAAGTAGGACGCTGGATACTCAATTTCCTGTCGAACAGAACACAAAGAGTAACAGTCAATCAAATAAAATCAAGTCCAAGTGCAGTTAAAAGCTCTGTACCTCAAGGTACAGTCCTTGCACCACTGCTGTTCCTTATTCTCATATCAGATATAGATAAAAATACGTCACAGCTTCGTGTCATCCTTTGCCGATGACACAAAAATCAGCATGAAAATTACCTCTTCTGAAGACATGGAACAATTACAAGAAGATATCAACAAAGTTTTCGATTGGGCAGCAGAAAATAACATGATGTTTAACAGCGATAAATTCCAGGTACTCAGGGAAGCAAAAATGAGGACCTGAAACATAACACAGGGTACAAAACACAATCGAATCTGCCCATAATAGGTAAACAGTATGTTAAGGATTTTGGAATAATGATGTCTGACGACCTAACGTTTAAGGAGCATAACCAAGCAAATATTGCGTCAGCCAGAAAAATGATAGGATGGATTACGAGAACTTTCAAATCCAGGGATCCCATCACGATGTTGTATTCTTCAAGTCACTGGTGTTGTCCCGTCTCGAGTACTGCTCAGTACTCGCTTCCCCCTTCAGAGCAGGAGAGATTGCTGAAATAGAGGGAATACAGAGAGCATATACGGCACGCATAGACGCGATAAAGCACCTAAATTATTGGGATCGTCTCAAAGCTCTCCAAATGTACTCACTAGAAAGGAGACGAGAGAGATATCAAATAATATACACATGGAAAATACTGGAAGGCCAGGTCCCTAATCTACACAGTAAAATAACAACGTACTGGAGTGAACGATATGGAAGAAAATGCAGAATAGAACCAGTGAAGAGCAGAGGTGCCATAGGCACAATCAGAGAACACTGTATAAACATCAGAGGTCCGCGGCTGTTCAACATCCTCCCAGCGACTATAAGAAATATTGCCGGAACAACCGTGGACATCTTCAAGAGAAAACTAGACTGTTTTCTAAAAGACGTTCCGGACCAACCGGGCTGTGGTGGGTATGTGGGCCTGCGGGCCGCTCCAAGCAACAGCCTGGTGGACCAAACTCTCACAAGTCAAGCCTGGCCTCGGGCCGGGCTTGGGGAGTAGAAGAACTCCCAGAACCCTATCAACCAGGTATGGACTTTTTCGTGGCCATTTCATTGATAATGATCCTGCTTGGGTCATCCACCCAGTTAACCTCTCTACAGGCATGAGCTCACGGGCTTGCTCAAGCAGGTGAAGTTCTTCGAGGTAGCAGACTGATCTGCGATACCATTTTTTCGCTTCTCCTGTTTCCCCCTGAAAGTAGCACAGAACTCAGTTTTGGGGGGGCCAATATCATTGTAATAGGGATCTCTGGTTATCTTAATTGCAAGCTTAGCATTCAGTTCCCGAATTCGGCTTTTAACTCTGAGAGCTTTAACTCACCTCTCGTAGATTAGATGTTTTGACAATTCTTGGGACTCCAAGAATGATTGTCATGACTTTATTTTGTATGCTTTCAAGTTTTTTCATGTCGTTTTGGGAATAAGTGCACAAAACTGACGCAGCATAGTCTATGACGGAGCGCACATAGGCTGTGTACATCATTTTAAGCACGGCACTAGAGGCCCCATGTCCATTCCCGAAATCATGGCAAGGTAACTGCCTTCTTCCCCGCGTGCTCTGTCCAGTCTTCCTGGCACACCCTTCCCCGCCTCTCACTCTCTCTCTCCTCCCCACCTCCCCGCCCATCTCCCCGCCCATCTCCCCTATTCTAGTATCTTAGTCAACCATGTTTAATATATGATTATTTAATGCCTGTTCTAAATTTTTAGAACACTATTTTTAATTTGAATCTGTATTGAATATTTTCCTAATACAAGTATTGGAACTGTATATTTTGTTTTATATTTTCAGGTATAACCTCGGCCTAGCCTACCCCAGGCCAAACCAAACCTAGGCCTAACCAGCACTGTGGCACCCCCACCTTAGACTGATATTTCAACCTCGGGACCATCTTCTTTAAAAAAGTACGATTTTATTATAGTTCAGTGAAATCAAATGTCTGTGTCTGTTCTTGGGGCTAGCCTTATTCAGCATTGCAGGATGGAACCTGCGGGGTATGGGAGTATCGTAGGCTAGTCGGCCCCATAACCTCAGTTTAAGAAATATCGGCATCTTTGGCGATCCCCCTCCCCCCTCTGGAATTTTCAGGGAATCTGAAATCAAATCCGTGAATGTATTTTCCATAGATTTATCATGCTTACTCAAGCCGTTTATCTGTGCAGGATTTTTATAGTGATCTCAAAACAATGAACGTGAATTAGTTTTAGTTACAATTGTGTATTTTCTAAGACTGAGAGAGGTAGAGAGAGAGAGAGAGATGAGGGGAGACAGAGAAGAAGAGAAGGGGTAATATTGGGCCAGAAAACTTGACGGGGGGGGGGGGGAGGGGCTGGAAGAGAAGGGGGATAGAGAGAAGGGGAGATTAGGAGAGAGGGGAGGGGGGAGAGAGACCCAGGCGCAGCCACTTAACCACATCTAGAACTCACCTACTTGAACTCTACTATTCGTGCCTGCATGATGGAGCATAAGCTCTTGAACCCCGCCTTTCTAGCCGCCGGTTGTTTAAAGCAATGACTAATCTGTGAGTATTCATCTAGTTGTATTCACCAAGTTATGCTTGGGGGGGTTGAGCTCTGCTCTTTCAGCCCGGCTCTCAACTATCAATCAACTGTTACTAACTACTAACTACTTTTTTACACACACACACACACACACACACACACACACACACACACACACACACACACACACACACACACACACACACACACACACACACACACACACACACACACACACACACACACACACACACACACACACACACACACACACACACACACACACACACACACACACACACACACACACACACACACCAAAGGACAAGAGGTCCGAGAAAGGAGACTACTACCTGGGAGAAGTGCAGTGGGAGGACGAAATTAGAGGAAAAACAGTACAAGATATGATGTACCAAGTCATATGGAAATGCAAGGAGGCTGAAGAGAGAGTAAAGGAAAAAAAGCAGGAGGGAATATAATAACCCATGGTTTAATAGACAGTGTCAGGAAGCAAAAGTGAGAAGCAGGAGGGAGTGGAGGAAGTACAGAAGAGAAAGGACAGAGGACAACAGGATTAGATGTAACAGAGCTAGGAATGATTACATTAACATAAGACGAGTGTCGGAAAAAAATTATGAGAATGATATTGCAATTAAAGCGAATAAGCAACTTAAATTACTACATAGCCATATAAGAAGGAAGATGTCGGTAAATGACCAAGTGACAAGACAGGAAATCAGAAGGGGCGTATACAGAAAGTGACAAGGAAATCTGCGAGGTACTAAATGCAAGTTTCAATGGAGAGTTCACGACCGAGCCTGAGCAGCTCCCATTGTTAGAAGGGATTACCCTAGATGAAAGACTATCAGATATAGAGGTGACAGCAGAGGAGGTAATGAAACAGTTAACAACACTGGTTGCAACTAAAGCGGTTGGACCTGACAAAGTATCACCGTGGATACTCGAAGAGGCAGCGCAGGCTCTCAGCGTGCCTCTGGCAATGATCTTTAATGAGTCACTTATGTCGAGAGAATTGCCCAGTTGCTGGAAGGAGGCAAATGTCGTACCGATTTTCAAGAAAGGTGATAGGGAGGAGGCACTTAACTACAGACCCGTATCACTGACAAGCATCCCCTGCAAAATACTTGAAAGAATAATTAGGCTAAGACTTGTTGAGCACCTGGAGAGCATTGGGTTTGTAAACAAACACCAACATGGGTTCTGGACAGGGAAATCATGCCTAACAAACCTTTTAGAATTCTATGACAAAGTAACAAGGATAAGGCAGGACAGAGAAGGCTGGGCAGACTGCATATTTCTTGACTGCCAAAAGGCTTTTGATACAGTACCGCACATGAGACTGCTCCACAAACTTGAGAGGCAGGCAGGAGTAAGCGGAAAGGCCCTAGCATGGGTGAGGAACTACCTAACAGGAAGGAGCCAGAGGGTAATGGTAAGGGGCGAGAAGTCGGACTGGCGAACAGTAACGAGTGGAGTACCTCAAGGATCGGTGCTGGGCCCAATCCTCTTTCTAATTTACGTAAATGATATGTTTACAGGAGTGGAATCATACAAGTCAATGTTTGCGGATGACGCAAAATTAATGAGAAGAGTTGTGACAGATGAGGATTGTAGGATCCTCCAAGAGGACTTAAACAGGTTGCAGAGATGGTCAGGGAAATGGCTACTGGAGTTCAACACCAGTAAATGTAAAGGTAGAGAAATGGGATCAGGTGATAGGCGACCAAAGGGACAGTACACAATGAAGGGGAACTGCTTACCTGTATCGATTCGAGAAAGAGACCTGGGAGTGGATGTGACACTTAATCTAACTCCTGAGGCACATATAAATAGGATAACGACAGCAGCGTACTCTACACTGGCGAAAATTAGAACTTCATTCAGAAACCAAAGTGAGGAGGCTTTTAGGGCGCTTTACACTGCCTACGTGAGACCCGTCTTAGAGTATGCCGCGCCATCATGGAGCCCCCACCTGAAGAAACCCATAAGGAAACTGGAGAAGGTTCAGATGTTTGCGACGAGGCTTGTTCCAGAGTTACGAGGGATGGGATATGAAGAGCGTCTGAGGGAACTGAACCTTACGACATTAGAGAAAAGAAGGGAAAGAGGAGATATGATAGGAACATAAAATACACAGGGGAATTGATAAAGTGGAAATAGATGAAATGTTCACACGTAATAATCACAGAACAAGGGGACATGGGTGGAAACTGGAAACTCAGATGAGTCACAGAGATGTTAGGAAGTTTTCTTTTAGCATGAGAGTAGTGGAAAAATGGAATGCACTTGGGGAACAGGTTGTCGAAGCAAACTCTATTCATACTTTTAAAATTAGGTATGATAGGGAAATGGGACAGGAGTCATTGCTGTAAGCAACCGATGGATGGAAAGGCGGGATCCAAGAGTCAATGTTCGATCCTGCAAGCACAAGTAGGTGAGTACACCGAGGAAGCAACTCCGTAACAGCTGTCTAACTCCCAGGTACCTATTTACTGCTAGGTAACAGGGGCATTCAGGGTAAAAGAAACTTTGCCCATTTGTTTCTGCCTGATCCGGGAATCGAACCCGGGCCACAGATTTACGAATCCTTCACGCTGTCCACTCAGCTACCAGGCCCCCTAATGTGTGTGTGTGTGTACTCACCTAGTTGTGCTTGCGGGGGTTGAGCTCTGGCTCTTTGGTCCCGCCTCTCAACCGTCAATCAACAGGTGAACAGGTTCCTAAGCCTATTGGGCTCTATCATATCTACACTTGAAACTGTGTATGGAGTCAGCCTCCACCACATTACTTCCTAATGCATTCCATTTGTCAACCACTCTGACACTAAAAAAGTTCTTTCTAATATCTCTGTGGCTCATTTGAGCACTCAGTTTGCACCTGTGTCACCTAGTGCGTGTGTCCCTTGTGTTAAATAGCCTGTCTTTATCAACCCTGTCGATTCTCTTGAGAATCTTGGATGTGGTGATCATGTCCCTCCTAACTCTTCTGTCTTCCAACGAAGTGAGGTTTAAATCCCGTAGTCTCTCCTCGTAGCTCATACCTCTCAGCTCGGGTACTAGTCTGGTGGCAAACCTTTGAGCCTTTTCCAGTTTAGTCTTATGCTTGACTAGATATGGACTCCATGCTGGTGCCGCATACTCCAGGATTGGTCTGACATATGTGGTATATAATGTTCTGAAAGATTCCTTACACAAGTTTCTAAAGGCCGTTCTTATGTTAGCCAACCTGGCATATGCTGCTGATGTTATCCTCTTGATTTGTGTGTGTGTGTATGTGTGTGTGTGTGTGTGTGTATGTGTGTGTGTGTGTGTGTATTTACTATTTGTGCTTGCAGAATCGAGCTATTAGCTCCTGGACCCCGCCTTTCTAACCAACTTATTTTCGTTTATTATGTCTACTTAATATATTTCTAAAACACACACACACACACACACACACACACACACACACACACACACACACACACACACACACACACACACACACACACACACACTTATCGTAGTCATATATAATCCACCACCAAATGACAGAAGACCCAGACAGGAATATGATAGAAACAATATGGCCACCATTAACATAATGGAGAGAGCAGCTTCTGTTGCATGCAGGAATGGATCTGGACTACTAATCATGGGAGACTTCAACCATGGGAAGATAGATTGGGAGAACAGAGACCCGCATGGAGGACCAGAAACATGGAGAGCTAAGCTGCTGGACGTGGCAACAAGAAACTTTCTAAGCCAGCACATCAAGGATCCAACAAGAATGAGAGGAGAGGATGAACCAGCAATGCTTGATCTGATATTTACCCTAAATGAGTGGGATATAAGGGAAGTCAAGATGGAAGCGCCCTTGGGAATGAGTGATCACAGTGTATTGAACTTTGATTACCTGGTAAAGCTAGGAATTATCCCCCCCCAAAAAAGAACTAGGAAACAAAAGGCTGGCATACCGAAAGGGAAAGTCTGTACAAGATATGATGGACTATGTCACCCAAAAGTGTCAGGAGGCAGTAAGCAGATACATCCCGGCCCAAAAGGAAAAATCCGAGAAGCAAAAGAAGAATCCATGGTATAATAGGGCATGTATGGAAGCTAAGGTACTGAACAAAAGGGCGTGGAGGAACTTCCGGAATAACAGAACACCAGAAAGCAGAGAGAGATACCAGAGAACCAGGAATGAGTATGTCAGGGTGAGAAGAGAAGCAGAGAAAAGTTATAAAAATGATATAGCAAACAAAGCCAAGACCGAACCAAAGCTACTCCACAGTCATATCAGAAGGAAAACAACAGTGAAAGAACAGGTAGTGAAACTTAGAACAGGCGAGGACAGGTATACAGAGAATGACAAAGAGGTGTGTGATGAACTCAACAAGAGGT